TGTGCGCGGGGGGGGGGGGGGGGAGCGTCAGATTGCACCACCTCGATTCAACAGTGAACCTCTTCAAAAAGAGGATAACTAAAATCAAGTGCAAGTTCAGCTGAGGCCCTGGCAGAGAGGAAGGAGTTCTCAGTTCCATTTCACTAAGAATTTATTCACTTAGCATTTCCAGTCTGTACCTGGGCTCCTCCTACCATCTTTTCAAGAAAAACAATCTCCAGAAATAATAGGCATTTAAGTTCAGTTTCTCTGGTATTTAAACCTACTGCTACTGGCAGACCACAGACACAGCTAGAAAAGTCTACAGTCAATTCTACCTTTTAAAAATGGTCTGAGTCCAAAAGATACACAGCTACAGAATTTGTCTCCTTCCATTTCGACAGCAGGAGAACCAGACAAGGTAATATGAAACGTAAGATCAAATGAGCAGTAGAACTGGCATGATGAGTAAGCACTTACATTTTTTGCCAGCTTTAAAGCCACTGGGTGTATTTCCCCCATCCCTCAGACTCTCCTCCCCTTACCTGAACTTGCTCACAAATTGGTGGCATAACGCAGGAACTTGTTGAGAGCAGGCTGGCAATGGTGGTCTCAAAGTCAGCTCTGTTGCTATTCTCTGTCCGTAATTTCTTCACTGATAATCCGTAAGGAAAACTCTGGAATCAACTAAGCATGATGTTTTAAGAACAAGATGTGCCAATTATACTTTAAAAGCTTAAATAACTTAGAGAAGCTGCTCAATGCAAGTATTTATTCATACCCAATATGTAATTATGTAGTTACAAAGCAAGATCTTTCATGCTATTAAGTGTTGCTACTTACACTCAGGAGTGTATTGAATGTTACTGATTTGAGGCATAGATGAAAAGTTTTCAGATCTCTCTCCTTGATCAGATGCAAAATAACTAGGGGCAATACAAGTTTCAATTCCCAGTTAATCCTCAAATCAATATTTAACATAAATAATTTTATCTCAAACGTATGTTCAAGGATGAAGTACTGACACCACCAAAGAATCTCTTTACCCTGCAATTCAATAAAACAGGTACCACTTTATGACACAGGAAAGCAAACTTCTGCACAAGCCTAACACCATCATATATACTGTTCAAGAAAAAATGTAAGGTCAATTAGAACTAGACTGAACTGATTTTATTTCCTTGAAAAAGAATAGACACTAATTTAACTGTATACAGAATTTAATTTAACTATAACTATACAAGTTTCAGTATATTGTCCTGTTCAAGAACTGCTTATATAAAAAAAAAAAATACTGCCAAAATTCTAATGCAGACTTTACAATTAAATGTTTCATCTTTCCTTCTACCCCTAATAACTAGAGCTGAGTGTTCAGATTAACTTATGTACGGATGAAAATTCCCTTGGCCTTACATGTAGTTTCGTTATTACCCATGTTTTTTCCACTACCACCAAAACTAGACTCAAAGTAAGTTTTACAGTATTAGCCATGAAAAATTTTGCAAACTTCGTAAGAACAGAATTCAGAAGATTAACAACAGTGTTTACTATAATAAAATGTCACATCCCTCTAAAAAATAATACTTATGCATTTCTGTGCATATTCTTATGCTTATTAGTCTGTCACATTTTATGATAGTATCTGCAAATTTCTTACTTTGAACAAATGAGTAGTATGCACTTTTAGTTAGACCATCAAAACTCCATCAAGTTCTCTGAGAACTCTGAGTTCCTGTTTTGAAGTAAAAGGTGTCCAATGAGGTTCCAAGAATTTTCATCATTATACTCAGTCAAACAAGGTAGCCAAAAGAAAAAGACAATTTTCTTTTTTTCTGGTACGACCACTCAAACCCTACCGTTTCCCACTTTCAATTGTTATTGCATTTATGCCTCCAAGGCTCCTTATCTTGACTAAACAAAGGTGCCCATTTAGCTATTTACTATACTGTTGGTTACCTCGTTGCTGTCCAGGCACAGTGAAAACTTCTCACTACACTGCCAAGTCTCCAAATCCACAGTTCCAGTTAATGGAAGTCCAGGTCACTCAAAACCAGAATTACTGTCACCAATTCTGTTTAGGTATACCACCTGATGTGGCATGATGTAATTTCATCACAAATCATTATAATTGAATGCAAAGTAAAGGAAACTTGAGTTTATTTAGCTTCCAATTTCTGGGAGGTCAAGAGGAACTAGGACTGCTCTGGACAACAGAAGAAAATAGACTGTGCTTACAGATCATTTTCTGCCATATTCTTTCTTTAGGACCACTGTTTTATTGTTGCCCTTTCTATTACACGGGATGTACATATTATCAGGTGTTAATAAAAGGTCAGTGCCTGTACAATACATTCTACAACTGAGCACCACTTTCCGTAACTGAACAGGCAAAGAAATTACACTGAACATCAGCATCTGGCAGTATTTCTCCAAAAAAAGTGACTAAAATGGGTTTAAATTGATTAACACTATTAAATCACATCTAATATTTGATACTACATGATTTCATTACAGCTATACGATACAATTATACAAAATGTGTTAACATCAAAGAATACAACCAAAATTAAGATAGCAAACAAAACCTATATAACTTTTTTCTTTACAGGAAAATACTTTTGAAGTATGCATGTAACTGCCCATTCTTTTAAAGAAAATCTACCGCAAGCAAAGTTACCAACCTCCAGAAAAATCACACATAGCATTACTACGCATATCCCCAAAAAGTGTACAATATGCACACTTGGAAAATACAAAATTAAAAAAATTGTAAGCAACAGGTGAGCTTCATATTTATAAGAATGTGAAAAGAAGTCCAATTTTAGCACTGTTGTATAAAGAATTGTCTTTTTTTGATGCAAGTTCATGAACTGACCCCTCCAGTTGGGGCCACACTTTACAAAACACCGTGTTCTTGAAACGGGATTACAGAGCAAGGTAGAGCATCTTAGCAACGTCACCTTAAAGTTTTTTTTGCAGGTTTTTTTTTGCTTTTTATTTACTACTTATCAAAACACGTCCTTTAGGTTTGTAGGGTTCTTTTTTAAAATTCTTTCCTAGAAACAATATACAAAGGGGAGGCATATTTATTTCCAATTCATACTCCTGTAAGATGCTTTGAGTTCAAGAACTTTCTCCTCCAACTTTCACTGGTTGTTTTTGGCCTTAGCGTGTGTTAAGATGTGAGATTTCAGGTTAGTTGATTGCGCAAACTTCTTATTGCAGCCGTCAAACGGGCAAACATAGGGCCTGTCGCCAGTATGAATTCGCACATGTGTGCGTAAATTGAAGTCCAGTGAAAAACGCTTTCCACATCCTTCAAACGTACACTGTTGGAAGGAAAAAACATACTCTATTAGCTAACAAAACAGTACTCATTTCGATCATTGATTAGAACAATATTCTTCTTTAAATCACTGGACTGCACAAACGTGAAGCTAGATACTGAAGATTATTATAGGTGAAGCTGTGGGCATCACTTGTAAACTGCATTAAAAAATACAAGGAATACTTCAGGTTGTTTTACCACAGTAGTGTATCTATTTTCAAAGATAAAAACTAAAAACACCTTCTCTGCATCTGAAACAGTATTTAGCTATGCTGTACTAGAAAAGAGAAACAGTGATTCACATCAGAATTTCCCCCTTTCAGTGATAATTTGCAAAGATTTGCTCATTTTACCAGGTTTACTTTTAAGATGGGCTTGGAATACAAAGGGCAGCATGTTTGGTGGTAAATACTTACATTTACCACACGGCAGATCCAGCATACACAGCTGAGTGGATGCCTGAGGACTGCAAATCAAGTTTCTGAAATAATTTTTAAAAAAATTCAACAAAAAATACGTATCTTAAACATGTACTGGAGAACACGGATATGCTCAACACTACGAATACCTGTAAAGATCTGTAAGGCGTATCATAGGAAGTAGTCAGGGGACCTCTGGTGGCAAAAGCTCATGTGACTTGGTATGAACAGATTCAGTGATTACTGTAATTTTGCTGAAAATTGATTAACACCCGCTACTGAAAACTAGGATCATGAGTCAACTGAGCAAACAGCCCAAGCCTCAGTTGTCCACAAGTGCTAAGTTGAGAAGATGATGATGAGAAAGACATTTTCCTCATTCAGCAGCAATTGCAGACTTCATTTTTGAAGTAGGTAACTTTACATTATATTTTGGGAGGTATCTCCCCAGGTACATACAATTTGCTAATTTCTAACAAAAGCCCATGGGAATAGTTAAATGATAGCCTAAGTATCTTAAAGAGATTTCCAATTTTTAAGGTGATCATTCAGTGCCTCATCTGATTTTAGAAAAAACATAGTATCCCTGAAATCATATGGAAGCAAGGTTACAGTTACAGTCTACATATGTTTACCAAATAAATTGTGGTACTTAGTCTGGAGATTAACAATACCTGAAAGGGTTTCTCTCCGGTATGAACTAGCTGATGTCGCTTTAGTTTCGAGCTCTCCACAAAGGCCTTGCCACATTCTGCACATACATGTACTCGAGGGCCATGGGTGTGCAGATGCTTCCTCATGGCAGAGTTGTCCCTGAACATCTTTGTGCAGCCCTTAAAAAAGAACAGTGAAACTCTATTAGTAGATAAGCTAGTTCTGATTAAGAAGGTTTTATCTGCTACAATACAAGCATTTAAAATATTTTCATACCCTGAATACTTTCTTAAAAGTTGGCCCTGAAAAGTAGACCCTTTACATTTATTTTAAAAAAGCAATACCAAGAAAATGAATCATTTGAAAAGCCCACAAAAAATCCCACAACAACCCAGTCCCAAACAAAAAAAAAAAACCCAAACCCTCACCTCGCTTAGTATTATGAACTATTTGCAGCAAATGAGTAATAGGACAGTCTCATGGAGAAGATGCGGCTCTGACAGAAGCAAATGAATAAACCAAACTAAAGCACTTACACTTTCAGGGGAAAAAAAAACAGACAACAGAATGATAGTTCATAGATACCTACAGTATATCCTTCAATGTGCTATATTCTGAGTACTACAGTACTACAATGTACAATATAGTCTCTAATATACCACAGATTATTCTCTAGTACCAATTTGTACGTGCACCATTCCACTTCCCAACATTCTGACCTCTTCCTTCTCCATCCTTCTCAATCCTGAGAAGAAATGGAGCAAAAGGGTTTCCAGCACGTAACAGTTTACAGAAACTACCTCGTCCAAACTGGCAGCAGCAGATTGATCACTACTACCTTGAGATATAAAGAGATTGACACTGCTTCTACAGTTTAAACCTACAAAATGATATTGGGCAACTGAATTAGGTAGGAGAATCTCTGAGTTAGTGCCAACTCAACCTAAAAGCAAAAGATACTCATGTTAACTCAAGTGGAGCATCAGAAGTCTTAATCTGGGGTCGACATGCTGCATCGACACAGGAATACTACTTTTGATTCCAGAGCACACTTAAGTCAGCAGTGACCTGGGGCTCTCTTTACCTAATCTTTCTGTACCTTTTTCACCTTTTTGGGACAATCAATGGACTTCTATCATATGTTTTATAAATGTCTTCCTCAAGGTTCAAAATCCCTCATAAAATTCTATTAACAACTGTAAATTCTATCTGTACTCCAAGTGATGCTGTTTAAACTTATGTAAAACTAGTCTACCAACATCACTGTGTTACGAGGCATAAAATTCGACAACGGAACCTAAAGGAACTTTCAATTGCTAATCTTAAACCCTGCAGGCTTCCTCTTTGGAAATTTTTCTTTTGTTTTCAAAACTAATACCACATTTAAATATGCCTTATTTCTTAAAAAAGGGGGAAATGCCACTTTCAGGAAGAGTTCTCTCTTCAGGCACTAGAATTTCTTTGGCAAATTTAAGGAGTGTTGTACCACCATTCACTTCGCATAACAGAACTGGACGGGGCACAGCAGCACCAAAATAAAGATACCATCAACTTTCTTTTTGCATTGATTTCAAAGCCCCTGCTTGCCTCTTAAAGGATCAGTTACATCTTCTACAGTATTTTTCTTGTTTAAACTGAAGTCATGAACACACAAAGCCTAGAAACACTAGAAGAGAGAAAATGGAAGGATAGAATATTCTTTTTTTCCCCTGTTCAGATGAAGTTGTGGCTATGAAAAAGTAAATCAAAGAAATGAAGGCAGCATTCCTCAGAATTGTAAGGAGTAACTGTTCCTGTATCTCCATATACTATACTATAATTAAAAACATGACACTTGTAGAATGTGAAGAACTGGAAATAATATAAGCACGAAGAGGAATCTAGCAAATTCCTTAGACTATGGCTGTCAGAAAGAAGCCTTCTATTCGTGCTCTCTAATGTGTTCTATTAGCTATCTGCCCTGATTATTTGCTTAGGCTCACACTTATCTAGACCAGAAGTCAGCAAGATTGTATTTGTCTTTTTTCACTACAGACTAAGTCAGCTAAGAGAAGCTCTACAAAAGCTGGATAATGCAATAAAGCTCGATGCTACCAATCTAGGTGACTGGCAACATTTACTCAAGACAGATGCACCTTCCAGCTTTGTGGAATGTAATTCAAAGTCTTCCAATAATGCCAACTTTGGCATCTGCACCATAAATTGCTGATTCCTGATCTAGACTCCAAATTTGTCATAGTTTCCAAGCAGAGGATATATAGATCTTAGGAACGTACTTTGAACAGCTTTCAGAACATTCTTTCAAGTATGTATTCTTGGGTGGCAGGAAATCACAACAGTAAAACCAGCATGTTAGGGACTGTGCATCATGGTTACCAGAAGATTAGGGATGCACTAACCTTAAGACAAGGAATGGGAATAATATATTATTCAGTGAAAGGTTTTTAAGGAAGCCTCTAAAGAATGATAACTAACATACAGTTAACTGAGTGTAGTCTATTAACAGTAAGGCATTTTAGTTATTCATTCTCAAGAGAAAACATCAATACAAAATTCTGGTCTACAAATTACTACCTAATCAGAAGCTGAGCACTTCACTTACTTTGTGAGGACAAGCTATCGTTCGTGGAGCATCATCTTCTTTAATTTTTCTTGGTTTCATTCTTAAAGATAAAAAAAAAACACCAAACAACACATTACTACAAAAACATTAGTAGACAGCTCTTCTCCTGTAACTGCCTACATAACGCACACATTTCTTCAATAGTATTACGTGCATCAGTAGTACTCAGTTTAATATTTTCAAAACTTTATTAATAATATTAGGAGTATAATTTGGCATTTGGAAAGTTCAGCTTTTCCAGAAAGACCTCTGAAATACAGAATAAAACATTTAATACTACCTGCCTAGTCCTTTGAATATGTGGAAATAGAGGGGTCTTTTTTTCTGACATACTAATTGTAATCAGGAGGTTTATGTTTGAAAACTCTGTTTTTGTTGTGCCAGTACCCACATGGCCTATGTATCTTCACTTCCTCTCCATCCCTGCACCAGGCATGAAGGACAGAGTAGCCTCAATCATTCTTCAGTATTTTCACCACAAGGCTTCAGAAGAAAACTCTGCAGAAGCAGGAAAGGCAGGCAAGTTGTGGAATCACAGACAATGTAGACATCTGTTATAGCCACAGAAACTGCAATTATTCTTACTTTAAGCTACCTGTTCCAGTGCCTCACCACCCTCACAGTAAAGAATTTCTTCCTACTATCGAATCTAAATCTCCCCTCCTTCAGCTTAAGGCCGTTATCCCTTGTCCTATCACTACATGCCCTTGTAAACAGTCCCTCTCCAGATTTCTTGTAGACCCCTTTGAGGTACCGGAAGGCTGCTATAAAGGTCTCCTCGGAGCCTCTTCTCCAGGCTGAACAATCCCAACTCTCTCAGGCTGTCTTCATAGAAGAGGTGCTCCAGCCCTCTGATCATCTTTGTGGCCTTCTCCTCCAGACTTGTTCCAACAGCTCCATGTCCTTCTTATGTTGGAGACCCAAGAGCTGAACACAGTCCTACAGGAGGAGTCTCACAAGAGTGGAGTCACCTCCCTCAACCTGCTGGTCACGCCTCTTTTGAGGCAGCCCAGGACACGGTTGGCTTTCTGGGCTGCAAGCGCACACTGCCAGCTCACGTTGAGCTTCCCATTAACCAACATCCCCAAGTCCTCCTTCTCAGGGCTGCTCTCAATCCATTCTCCACCCAGCCTGTAGTTGTGCTTGGCACTGCCCCGACTCATATGCAGGACCTTGCATTTGGCTTTGTTGAACTTAATGAGTTTCACAGGGGCCCACCTCTCAAGTCTGCCAAGGTCCCTCTGGATGGCATCCCCTCCCTCCAGCACGTCAACCGCACCACACAGCTTGGTGTTGTCAGCAAAGTTGCTGAGGGCGCACTCGATCCCACTGTCCATGTTGCTGACAAAGATGTTAAACAGTGCCACTCCCAATACTAACCCCTGAAGAACATCACTCATCACCGGTTTCCACTTGGACATCGAGCTGTTGACCGCAACTCTTTGAGTGCAACCATCCAGCCAAATCCTTATCCATCAAGTGGTCCATCTGTCAAATCCATCTCTCTCCAATTTAGAGACAAGGATGTCATGCAGGAAAGTGTCAAATGTTTTGCAGAAATCCAGGTAGATGACATCAGATGAACGTCAGAGAAGAGTCAACTGTGTGGACACTATTCTGGGGAAGTACACTACCTATCTTTATTTCTCAAACCTGTAGTGCTGTCTTCAAAAAAATCAAAAAGAAATGGCTTATCTCCACTTTATGGTGGAGGTAGGTAGATGTAAACAAATGCACCTCATACAGTTGGAGATTCACTCAGATAAGTAATGAGACTTTGCATGTTCCAAAACCTTGCTGTAGAAGAGGAGCTAGTCTGTTTATGTGAACTCCTGAATGACTTTTCCTGGTAATACAGTACAAGATAGTTCTGTATGACAAGGTACATATCATATCTGTAAGCTAAACAAAAGGTTTTCTGGTGTACTCTCACATCTCACTTATATGGGTATGAGTGGCTTGAATCTAACAAAATAATTTGAGTTATCAGAATCACTACTCTTAACATTAAGAAAGAGAGAAGTCTGTTGCTATCCTAGACAGTTTTAATACCCGTAAGTTCAGTTCCTGGAAACAAATACTGAATAACAAGGTTGGGGCACGACATTTCCAAGTAGTCCATACATGTATTTTTTTTTACATGTGTTTTTAATAACTGATCTGAGACTGGCTAAACAGCAACTTCTAAACATTCAAAATAATTCCCAAGAGCTGTAGGAAAAAGAAGCTAAACCCCTCCAATTCGACCACATAAGCATTTGTTTCTTCGCAGGCAGGGTCTGGTCTTCTTTGGCACTGTCGCATTCCTATGCATACGGCTGAAAGCTGCTGTTTCACCTGCCTCCTTCATGTGGACAGATGAGAGAGGACACCAATGGAAGGCCTTGTGAGGCTGAATTATGGCAAGAGCAGTGAAAAACCTCCCTTAGAAGTCCTGAAGACTGGATCCAGGAAAATCTCCTTTGAACTGCCAGTGGAGTCATATGTGATGGAGAAGTCTGCCATGGCTCTGTGGGCTATCATTTGTCCCTCAAACAATCTGACACTGCTCAGTATTGCGGATGTAGCATAGTTCAGGTGATCATGTAGGGACTAAAACACTTGACACAGATACAACATTAAAACTCAAGCATTTAGTGGCTGCATTTGTTCTTTTCTCTAAGTGGATGCTTAGGAAACTCCTGTTGGCTCAGCATCTCCAGACTACACTGAATATGTGCAGTGCTAACTGAAGAACACTGCAGTCTCCTGCAGGGTTAAAAATACACATGACAAAAAACAAGAAAACTGGGGAGTATCATATCCAACAATCCTCTCATTCACAGATACTAACACTCCTAGAAGACAGATGTGAGATATTTGTGTTGACAAAGCTCCTCTCGCACCAGCACTATCGCCAGCAGCATATCTAAACATTTCATAACTTTAAGGGCAGAAACATTCTGAACACAGAGAACTGTATCTGTTCCTGTAGACTAGCCTCTTTATTATCTTAATCTTCCTGATAACTAAAAGAGGGTCGATTTAGATTAGATATTAGGAAGAAATTCTTTACTGTGAGGGTAGTGAGGCACTGGAACAGGTTGCCCAGAGAGGTTGTGGATGCCCCATCCCTGGAAGTGTTCAAGGCCAGGTTGGATGGGGCTTTGGGCAAGCTGGTCTGGTGGAGGGTGTCCCTGCCCATGGCAGGGGGGGTTGGAACTAGATGATCTTTAAAGGTCCCTTCCAACCCAAACCATTCTATGATAACTATTCTTTTTCTAAGATTACAGACCAACTCAGATGACCTTATTGATTAGATTTAAGTTATATCATCCAATTGGAATAGAGGAAGATTGTGCCATGTTTCATTTACAAAGCCTCTTTGATTAAGTATTAAATACCTAAAACCAAACAAGAGATTGGGATTAACTGACTAACTACACTCTCCAGTGAGGTTCTAGACTGATAGCACTACAGGTACTAAGGCTATAGAAAAAACACACACGCAAAAGCTTTCTTACAGAAAGCTTTCAACTATCTTTCACATGGGATTCTTTTTATTATGTCTCTATGATTTTTATAAAAGGAAAAGGCACAGAAATGAGCACCTGTTATGCCAAAATGGACACACAGAAGAATGCTTTGACAAGACGGGATATGAGAGAACATACACACTCAGGGGACAAAGCTGGTGCCCAAAACATCTCCTTTACTCCTAACTCTACCATCTTGTTAAATGTTAGCTGAGCCATTTCCCCAGCTCCCCAAAAAAACAAAGCAAAAAACCTCCTAGGCCCAAAATCTGTGTCCATGACATCATCAGAATGAGTAAACCCACTGTTGTTCTGAAGTCTTAATTGACCACCTACAAAAGGGAGAGACTAGACAGAAAAGGAATTACTATAAGAGAGATGGTAAATACCTTCATGGGCAGTGCCTGCATTTTTTACACTTGGCATAAGATCCCATAGATTGTTATAGCTTGTGTTTTGCCTCTAGCAGTAAGTCAATCTTTGAGAAAGAAATGCTGCAACAGTGTCATCTGTAACAGGCTGCTGAAGTAGAGTGAGAGGGAAAACACCCTGGCCAATGTAGTTAGGAAGCTTCTAGATCAGTGTAGTCAAGAAGCTTGAGGAACAAATCGCAGCTGAACTGCATGGTCAGACATGGGGCAGTCTGGAGCTTGAACATACACCTTACATTTCTCAGTTGGGTGTCTGAGCAGGCACGTAACATTATGAGCGTCCATTCTGAAATAAGCTGACTTTTTAATTTTCAAGCTTTGTTTCTAAAGTGAGGAGTATCGGCCCAGCAGTGCACTTGAACATAAAAACATTTAGTCCCCACTGACTACAGAATGACAACAGTTTAGCTAATAAAGGGGCAGATTTAAAATCTTTTTAATTTCTCCTGGAAGTATGGAAAGTGGGCAACTCAAGCTTACAATGCAGAACAAGATTGTGTATAAGCACAGGGTTCCACAGGCAACCGAGCTACGCAACCAAGCAGAAGTAGATCCTTCAACAGGAAGAGACAGCAAACAGTGCTCAGGTTGTCAGTGCCACAGGCAGTAAGAAGCTGCTGGGCCCTTTGTACACTTGGATTAAAGGCATGAGGGCACGTACATCATGGGCACAGCTACGACAGATCATTTTGTCAAAAACATCATCTTGCTTACAAGGCTGTGGAATCCATATGGACAATCGCTCAAAGAAGAAATTAAAGACTATTCAAATGTATTAGAAAAAAGATTTTGGCCTTACTTCAAAATTAACTTTCTGCAAAAGAAGACCAGACTAGAATCTGGGCTGTTGATCCTAATTACGCTGTTGCAGGTAGCTCTTGCTGGTGGTTAGACTTTTGGCTCCCACCCAGCAGAGCATCTCCACCAGCTTCGTGCAAGTTTTCTTAGCCTGAAACACTAATCGAAAACAGAACTCTGACACATACCACTATTTAAAACAATTACAGACACATTAATATCTGGGTGGAACTTTTGAAACAGCTGCCTTTGCAGAAAGTCAATTTACATGGCAAGACCAGAATTTTCATTTCTGC